TCATGAGGTACAGGTGAGGGTACCTCACTACACACAGTACCTTCCCCAGGTACTCATGAGGTACAGGTGAGAGTACCTCACTACACACAGTACCTTCCCCAGGTACTCATGAGGTACAGGTGAGAGCACCTCACTACACACAGTACCTTCCCCAGGTACTCATGAGGTACAGGTGAGGGTGCCTCACTACAAACACAACGTGACAACAGATGAGTTAATTGCTACTTTTTAACTCTACAAATTGGAATAAGATGAAAAATCAAGTGGACACTTAATGAAGGAGGTAAGTCACTTACAGCTCTCTGGGAACACTTAAAGTGGACACTTAATGAAGGAGGTAAGTCACTTACAGCTCTCTGGGAACACTTAAAGTGGACACTTAATGAAGGAGGTAAGTCACTTACAGCTCTCTGGGAACACTTAAAGTGGACACTTAATGAAGGAGGTAAGTCACTTACAGCTCTCTGGGAACACTTAAAGTGGACACTTAATGAAGGAGGTAAGTCACTTACAGCTCTCTGGGAACACTTAAAGTGGACACTTAATGAAGGAGGTAAGTCGCTTACAGCTCTCTGGGAACACTTAAAGTGGACACTTAATGAAGGAGGTAAGTCACTTACAGCTCTCTGGGAACACTTAAAGTGGATACTTAATGAAGGAGGTAAGTCACTTACAGCTCTCTGGGAACACTTAAAGTGGATACTTAATGAAGGAGGTAAGTCACTTACAGCTCTCTGGGAACACTTAAAGTGGATACTTAATGAAGGGAAAGTGCTCCACTCACCACCTAGAAAAAAAGGTTTTATAATTGTTCTTGTTCCTTGCCTTCTAATTTTTTCATGGGATTAAGTAGGGTCAATTGCTGGCAAATTTTCAAAGAACCTTGACCTTGGCTGTAATATACCCATGTCTTTGACCTAAGCTGTGATATACCCATGACCAGTTTCGAGAGTTTCCACCCTAGCAGCTCCAACGACGCATCCATCACAGCCTGGTTGATCTATCAACTGGCAGAGGTGGTGATCCAATTTCCTCTTGCAAACTTCTACACCCATTCCTGCAACATTTCTGACATCTGCTGGTAGCTGGTTGAATGGTCTGGAATGTTGACACAGTGATTTATTGTGCCCTTGGCGCCTCTGCTTTTCAACTGGTCTGTTTTATACGCTTGTCCTCATGTCTTACTCAAGGTCTCAAGTATCTTCCCCATATATATTACCAGGTATGTCTCTACGTTCCAGAGTACAATACATTCTCAGTCCTCTGAGACGTTCCCAGTTATTGCCTCTGCGGACAGTGAACGATCTTTCTCTTTACTGTCTCTGAATGAACTAAGAGACTCTTTCAGTATGTAAATATTAAAGATAAAGCCGGCCCAGGAGGTGGAACTACATTAAAAAAAAACACGTTTAAAAATCAGAAATATACTTGGAAAGAGTTGATTTCAATATGATATAAACTCCTTTGCCAAAAACGAGATGCTCGTTTTACTGCGGTATGTTTGTACTGTCCAGTCCTCATACACCCCAGTGTACTGCAAGCATCTTTTGACATGAAAATTGTTTTATACAACTCCTTGTTTACAGCAAACACTGACATCATAATCAGGAAGTGAGTTTAGAGACGCATTCCGGATAAATTGGGGCGAGTGTTTGGTATACCTCCAGCTGATGTTTGTAAACAAGGTTTAGTGTATACAAGAAGACTCACCTGTCAGAGGTATGCACAGTTAATGGACAAGACATAATTGCAACGTTTGGGCATATTGTCGAAACGTTTCGCCTTCTCTGCAGGCTTCTTCAGTCGAATACAGTAGTGAGGTCAAGATGATGTGATCAGTCCCTCATGCTGTAAGCACCTATTTATGTTTTCATGAGATAGATTCAGGGCTCTTGGGCCCACCTTTTCTCTAGTCGCTACTAGATCCACTCTCTCCCTGCTCCTGTCTGTGTGTGAATTTAGTTATCACATACAGCGATGAATGACCTTCAGGTGCTAGCAGTGTAAATTATTCACATACTTCCTTCACAAGAAGGTATGACGTCATGTTGACCAGCTCAGAGCTGCCACTTCCTAAGTAAGTGGACATCTATCAAACAAACTAATTATTCAAGTGGCATGTACACTAGAGAGGTGTGTATCTCTCAGTGTACATACACTGAGAGGTGTGTATCTCTCAGTGTACATACACTGAGAGGTGTGTATCTCTCAGTGTACATACACTGAGAGGTGTGTATATATACCAAGGTATAAAGTTATCACTGGTGGTATCAGTCACAAGCATCCTTAATAACCCCTCCTCTTCCCTGGATCAAACCTGCTTAATAACCCCTCCTCTTCCCTGGATCAAACCTGCTTAATAACCCCTCCTCTTCCCTGGATCAAACCTGCTTAATAACCCCTCCTCTTCCCTGGATCAAACCTGCTTAATAACCCCTCCTCTTCCCTGGATCAAACCTGCTTATAATAACCCCTCCTCTTCCCTGGATCAAACCTGCTTAATAACCCCTCCTCTTCCCTGGATCAAGCCTGCTTAATAACCCCTCCTCTCCCTGGATCAAACCTGCTTAATAACCCCTCCTCTTCCCTGGATCAAGCCTGCTTAATAACCCCTCCTCTTCCCTGGATCAAACCTGCTTAATAACCCCTCCTCTTCCCTGGATCAAACCTGCTTAATAACCCCTCCTCTTCCCTGGATCAAACCTGCTTAATAACCCCTCCTCTTCCCTGGATCAAACCTGCTTAATAACCCCTCCTCTTCCCTGGATCAAACCTGCTTAATAACCCCTCCTCTTCCCTGGATCAAACCTGCTTACCTCCCACTTCCAAGACGCCTCCCCATAACCAAGAGAATAACAAAAGCCAAAATAAATTAATCAAAATAAACTGAACAAAAGCAAGTTGAACGAAATAATTTAGACAAAATATATAAAGTTTGAAAGACGGGAGAATGAAGGAGATTGTTGTCAACTATAAATATTCTATAATGTGGCAAGGGGGAAGATCCCCCCTTCTATATAATACCCCACTCTCCTAAGCCCCCCACCCATTTCTGTTAATGGGTCGTTGGGAATGAAAAAAGGAAAACTGAACAAGAGTTCTCCATCTGTGTGAAGCAACGGGGGGTGGCGCCCCCTCCCCATGTTGAAGTGTGTGTGTGAAGCAACGGGGAGTGGCGCCCCCTTCCAGTGTTGAAGTGTGTATGTGTGTGAAGCAACGGGGGTGGCGCCCCCTTCCAGTGTTGAAGTATGTGTGTGAAACAACAAGGGGTGGCGCCCCCTTCCAGTATTGAAGTGTATGTGTGTGAAGCAAGGAGGGGTGGCGCCCCCTCCCAGTGTTGAAGTGTGTGTGTGTGTGTGTGTGAAGCAACGAGGGGTGGCGCCCCCTCCCAGTGTTGAAGTGTGTGTGTGTGTGTGTGTGAAGCAACGAGGGGTGGCGCCCCCTCCCAGTGTTGAAGTGTGTGTGGCATACTGACCACTGTAGAAAAGGAGAGAAGCAGAAAGGAGAGATAAAGCAGCAAGGAGAATAAGGGAGAAAGAACGTACGAAACATAAACATTAAAACACACACATACACACACAAAGAGACCTGGACAGACTGGACACCTGGTCTAGCAACTGGCTTCTCGAATTTAACCCCGTCAAATGCACAGTCATGAAGATCGGGGAAGGGCACAGAAGACCACAGACAGAGTATAGGCTAGGTAGCCAAAGACTGCAAACCTCCCTCAAGGAGAAAGATCTTGGGGTGAGTATAACACCGAGCATGTCTCCGGAAGCACACATTAACCAGATAACTGCTGCAGCATATGGGCGCCTGGCAAACCTGAGAACAGCGTTCCGATACCTTTGTAAGGAATCGTTCAAGACACTGTACACCGTGTACGTCAGGCCCATACTGGAGTATGCAGCACCTGTTTGGAACCCGCACTTGATCAAGCACGTCAAGAATTTAGAGAAAGTGCAAAGGTTTGCGACAAGGTTAGTTCCAGAGCTAAGGGGAATGTCCTATGAAGAAAGGTTAAGGGAAATCGGCCTGACGACACTGGAGGACAGGAGGGTCAGGAGAGACATGATAACGACATATAAAATACTGCGCGGAATAGACAGGGTGGACAAAGACAGGATGTTCCAGGGAGGAGACACAGAAACAAGAGGTCACAACTGGAAGTTGAAGAGTCAGATGAGTCAAAGGGATGTTAGAAAGTATTTCTTCAGTCATAGAGTAGTCAGGCCGTGGAATAGCCTAGAAAGTGACGTAGTGGAGGCAGGAACCATACATAGTTTTAAGAAGAGGTTTGATAAAGCTCATGGAGCAGGGAGAGAGAGGACCTAGTAGCAACCAGTGAAGAGGCGGGGCCAAGAGCTAGGACTCGACTCCTGCAACCACAAATAGGTGAGTACACACACACACACACACACACAAACAAACACACACACACACACACACAAACAAACACACACACACGGGTCACAGGTATCAAACTGGTAACCAGTCTGCAAGCCACCTGTCCATAACGACTTGGCCAAGTAGTTCACACGATAACTAACTACATAATATATTACAGTAAGCGGGCAATTGAAGGCAGTAATGACCCAGGTAGCACCAGACTTGCTCCATTATGTCCTCTATGAATGACACGCACTATGTCCCAAGATTCCTTAATTGTAAACCAACTAGGTCTAATTGTTTTGATAAATCAACCGTTTTAATCACGTGTTTAAACAAATCAGCTGTTTTAATCACTTGTTCAGAGAGATCAACTGTTTTAATCACGTGTTTAAACATCAGTTGTATAATCGCTTAAGATAGATCAGTTGTTTCTATGCTATGTTTTGTTAAATCAGCTGATTTTAGTCACTTTGTTTGGGCAACTCAGCTGTTGTTCCTCAGTTTTAAAGCAGTTGTTTTAGCTGACCTTTTTTTAAATTAGCTGTCTTTTACTCACTGTTTTGGTAAAAAAAAAAAAACTTACGTTTGTAATTGCATTTTCTTTGTAGGCAATGTTGGAGGCACCATGTATGTAGTGCCGCCTGTGTTTTATACAGTGCCGTTACCTACCACCGTCACCCACTAGGTGGTCAGACCCTCCCTCCCCTACACCACTGTAGCTGGGGAAGGTGGGACACTACCGTGGTAGGTGGTACGCTTCGATGATAGATGTGACGCTACGGTGATAGATGGGACGCTACGGTGATACATGGGACGCTACGGTGATGCATGGGACGCTACGGTGATAGATGGGACGCTACGGTGATACATGGGACGCTTCGATGATACATGTGACGCTATGGTGACAGTCAGTGGGTAAGAACAAACGCTATGGAAGACACCGTCACCACTATCTCTCCCAGGTATGTACCTCTTCCTCCCACCTACACCTGCGTGTATAAATGAGCACATCTGTTTTTGTCAATTATTATTCAGAATTTGTCTAAATGCTGTAACATTTTATTTTCAATTTCGGAGGCCTGGTCTGATTTCATAAATAGATAGATAGATAGATAGAGAGAGAGAGAGAAGAGAGAGAGAGAGAGAGAGAGAGAGAGAGAGAGAGAGAGAGAGAGAGGAGAGAGAGAGAGAGAGAGAGAGAGAGAGAGAGAGAGAGAGAAGAGAGAGAGAGAGAGAGAGAGAGAGAGAGAGAGAGAGAGAGAGAGAGAGAGAGAGAGAGAGAGAGAGAGAGAGAGAGAGAGAGAGAGAGAGAGAGAGAGAGGAAAGAGAAAGAGGGGGTGGGAGAGACAGGACAGGCAAGACGGGAACAGGGAAAAGAAGAGGGGAGTGGGTAAAGAGAGGGCAAGCAAGAGGAGAGTAATGGGAGAGAGGGAGGGAGGGAGGGAGGGAGGGAGGGGGGAGGGAAGGGGAACACCATCACTTCCCATCACGCTTCATTGCTTCCTTTGAAGCGGCCACACGTGTTCTTGCCTCCCCTTCACGCTTCACTGAGGTAAACTGATATACCTACTCGTGTATACCATGTGGTATACCTCTTAGTTTATGTAAGGCAAACTGTTATACTTCATGTATGTATAACAAGTGGTATACCTCTTGATACATAGGTAGTATACCAGCTGTCATGACATAACTGCACCTGTACCATTGTCCATGAGAAAGCACTAAGCCCGTAAGGTTAGGTAAGGTTTGGCAGGAAACAGGACAAATGTATCCTGACACGGGTTTTAGTCACATGATGTCCCCGCAAGGGTCTTCCATCTACTAAGGAATGGGAGAGGCAGGGATTAATGAGTCACGATCCAAGGAAGGGAAGGGTATCCGCAGTGCCTGGTACTGAGCCCTTCACCGGCACCCTTGACTGAAGTGCTGGTGCAGCTGGGGACGTGTCACTACATAAGTGAGTGCCATGTGAATGCTGACACTGAGATCTCTCTCTTTCTCTCTCTCCCAGGGCCCGTGTGTCGCGCCAGAGGTTGTCAGCGTCACTACGTGATGACCGAACACGTTCCTCCTCATCGTCGTCCTCTTTAAGTTCTTCCTCGTCATCGTCGTCGTGTTCGTCCGTGTCTAAGGTAGCCATCATCACGAGCGTCAACAAAGATGGCGGCTCCACGGATGTCCCTCCCACTGAATGTCCTCCATCTGTTGCCTCCTCTCCTTGCTCTTCTCGATCTTCCTTATTTTCCTCTCCGTCTTCCACTTCCTCCACGTGTGAGGTTAAGAAAGAAGGAGGAGAAAGAGAGAGTGAGGGCCAGCTTAGTACTCTCAGTGTCGAGGAGGAAGAAGAGGAGTCGAGTGCCTCAGGGTCTACAAGTGATGCTGTCACTCAGTCAACGTCTGCAGCATCTTACATAAAGCAGGTAGAACCCATCTTCCTGCGGTGTCCTAAGAGAGTCGAGGAAAACCTAGCTGCCTCTCACTCCTTCGTCAGATCCCGTGAGGAAGGAGTAAATCACAGCCTCCTCACATGCTCCTCTCCCACCATCACCAGGCTGGATACTCGCACCACCGCTGGTGATGAACTTCAAGTACGACTCAATGCCATACTTCACTCCAGTCGACGCCTCAGTGACGCATACTGCAGACGCACGCCCACAAGTGTCCCAGGGACGAAATGCTTCGAGGACGTGATGGCCTCGTCATCTCTCTCAGAGTTGTCCTCTTCCTTTCCGCCTTCTTTCTCGAGTGATCACCTGGAAGCTTCAAATTCAGCAGAAAGCTACGAGTCGTGGAGCCTTTATGAGGAGTACTCGAGGCCACACTCGCCCTCGAGCTACGACCCAAGTGGCTACTCAAGCACGGACGCCTGCAGCTCCCTGTATCACGATCGACCGTCCAGTGGTCGGGAGGACCAGTGCTCGAGCCTGTCAGGCAGTCAGGCTGAGTGCCACTTCACTTTCCCAGAGTCCGAGAATGACCTCCAGCGTCCAGACATCCCCCTCTACCCCAGATCCCCTCGTTACTCCATCTTCACTATAAGTGGCACTCTGGCAGACCCCTTTGGTACCAGAGCCAAGTACTCCCTCAGAAGCCTTTCAACGGCGCACTTCTAATGAGGAAGCTCTCTAAGTCTGCGTTTCCACGCGATATTCAAGAGAAGGGGAGATGGGTGCCTTGATGCTGCTGAAGAACTATTATTCCCTTCAGTGGATCAAACCTGATTGCCTTCCATTCCCCAAGCCCTACGAATTTAGCGCTTATTTTATGAATATACTGTATAGAATTTGTGAACTATATAAAAAGTGTGAAGATTTATCGTTACAAAAAACTCGAGATTGATAGTGATGATGTGTCTTTGTGCTAGACTCTTCAGTGTCTGGCACAGACTTGATGAATCAGGGGTTCTGATAAACCGAGAACAAGATATACATCTGGCACCATAGTACCGACACCAGTATTGTCAGGTGGCTGTCCCTGAACAGTGAAAGATTGTGACTTTGTAAATGGTCCAAGTCGGACCGAAACGTTGTCGTAAGCTCCTCTTTCCTATGCGTGGGTTATTTGTGTATTGTTCCAGTCACGGTATTGTGCCTTTTTGTTATCTGTGTACTGAAGGGTCGTCATGTATCAACAAAAGAGAAGACAAATACAAAGTGACTTTTTTGACCGCTGAACGGGTCGTTACTTGACAAGAACTTGTTTCAGGTGACTTTCCTTTGTTTATACATTAACAGCAGAGGCTCTAGTGACACAACACTATTGCTGTGATGGATGACAGGTGCTGCCTGTGGCGGATGACAGGTACTGCCAACAAGCAGAAAGACTGATTTGCGAAATCAGTTGACATGATTATGAACACCGCACTAAACGGAGTGGGATTCAAACCCAAGGCAAACCAGACCTTAAACTAGCAAGTCAGTGCACTAGCTGGCTTCCTAGGTGCAGGATGGGCTCTGAATCCCACTCTTGTTCACCTTTTAGGTAGTGTATAACTCTGAATCCCACTCTTGTTCACTGCGAGGTAGTCTATAACTCTGAATCCCACTCTTGTTCACTGCGAAGTAGTCTATAACTCTGAATCCCACTCTTGTTCACTGCGAGGTAGTCTATAACTCTGAATCCCACTCTTGTTCACTGCGAGGTAGTCCATAACTCTGAATGCCACTCTTGTTCACTGCGAGGTAGTGTATAACTCTGAATCCCACTCTTGTTCACTGCGAGGTAGTCTATAACTCTGAATCCCACTCTTGTTCACTGCGAAGTAGTCTATAACTCTGAATCCCACTCTTGTTCACTGCGAGGTAGTCTATAACTCTGAATCCCACTCTTGTTCACTGCGAGGTAGTCTATAACTCTGAATCCCACTCTTGTTCACTGCGAAGTAGTCTATAACTCTGAATCCCACTCTTGTTCACTGCGAGGTAGTGTATAACTCTGAATCCCACTCTTGTTCACTGCGAGGTAGTCCACAACTGGATCAAAGTCGTATAACACCCACAAGATGATAAGACACACGGGTGGCACCTAAGTATCTTTATTTAGGCGATGCCTCACCCACCACTGACCTTATTATTAAAGCCCCTGGAGGGCGAAACATCGTTTTAATAATGATAACCATGTGTTGTACATGTGTCAGACTCAGCACGTAGAACGGTAAAGCAGATTATCCTACTACACAATACTACATACAAGATTTGCCAGCCAATATATAAATCCTTTTTCCAGACTAATACATTATAGATTATTAATTCACTGACAGTCTTTAATGTATCATTACTTTTATAGTTAATAACTAATTATCATTACTTTTATAGTTAATAACTAATTATCATTACTTTTATAGTTAATAACTAATTATCATTACTTTTATAGCTAAAAACTAATTATCATTACTTTTATAGTTAAAAACTAATTATCATTACTTTTATAGTTAAAAACTAATTATCATTACTTTTATAGTTAAAAACTAATTATCATTACTTTTATAGTTAAAAAACTAATTATCATTACTTTTATAGTTAAAAACTAATTATCATTACTTTTATAGTTAAAAACTAATTATCATTACTTTTATAGTTAATAACTAATTATCATTACTTTTATAGTTAAAAACTAATTATCATTACTTTTATAGTTAAAAACTAATTATCATTACTTTTATAGTTAATAACTAATTATCATAGCACATTTACCCTGAATAGTAAATTTATATAAAATGAATAAAAAAAAGGATATGAACTTATTCAAGATATTGTAAATAAAAATTGTGTATATATTAGTGTGTATTGTGTATATCTGAATGTTTATAACAAATCAATAAATTATTTTTGCACCTCTAGATAATTAGAGTATACATAGACGATTTTTATTGCAATAAATCTCCTTTATTTTCAATATCTGATTTTTTTTTCAGTGATGATTATACATATACAGAAATTTATTGTATGGTATTGTGAAGAATTCTGCATATTAGTAATTTTTATTTAGCTTTAAGGCATTTTGAATGGAGTTTTTTGGGGTTTGGTATCTTAAAATTATATTATATTGTATGTGGTATTGTTGTTAGTTGTATGTGGTGTCAGTTACATGTGGTATTGTTGTCAGTTGTTTACCTGGAGTTTACCTGGAGAGAGTTTCGGGGGTCAACGCCCCCGCGGCCCGGTCTGTGACCAGGCCTCCTGGTGGATCAGCGCCTGATCAACCAGGCTGTTGCTGCTGGCTGCACGCAAACCAACGTACGAGCCACAGCCCGGCTGATCAGGAACTGACTTTAGGTGCTTGTCCAGTGCCAGCTTGAAGACTGCCAGGGGTCTGTTGGTAATCCCCCTTATGTGTGCTGGGAGGCAGTTGAACAGTCTCGGGCCCCTGACACTTATTGTATGGTCTCTTAACGTGCTAGTGACACCCCTGCTTTTCATTGGGGGGATGGTGCATCGTCTGCCAAGTCTTTTGCTTTCGTAGTGAGTGATTTTCGTGTGCAAGTTCGGTACTAGTCCCTCTAGGATTTTCCAGGTGTATATAATCATGTATCTCTCCCGCCTGCGTTCCAGGGAATACAGGTTCAGGAACCTCAAGCGCTCCCAGTAATTGAGGTGTTTTATCTCCGTTATGCGCGCTGTGAAGGTTCTCTGTACATTTTCTAGATCAGCAATTTCACCTGCCTTGAAAGGTGCTGTTAGTGTGCAGCAATATTCCAGCCTAGATAGAACAAGTGACCTGAAGAGTGTCATCATGGGCTTGGCTTCCCTAGTTTTGAAGGTTCTCATTATCCATCCTGTCATTTTTCTAGCAGATGCGATTGATACAATGTATATATATATGTGTGTATGTGTACGCATAGGTCAGTAAGCCTGCTGCAGTGCTCATTCCTTATGTTCTTATGTGTGTGTGTGTATGTATGTTTATTCCTCTAGTCACAGCCACTTCCCCTCTGGTGTAATCTTCTCATCCGTCTCTTCCCTGCCATTTATCATCATCCTTATTCTCCTTCCCCTCATATTTATCTTACTGTGGCCTGTTCTCGTATCTATGCACGTATTTTAGAGAGAGAGAGAGAGAGAGAGAGAGAGAGAGAGAGAGAGAGAGAGAGAGAGAGAGAGAGAGAGAGAGAGAGAGAGAGAGAGAGAGAGAGAGAGAGAGAGAGAGAGAGTGTGTGAGAAAGAGGGTTAGGGGATAGCCAATGATCCTTAGCTGCCCTAACGACCTGTTCCCTTGCGTAAGTCACAATCCCTTACACATGTGTTGGCTTTAGAGGTGCAGCTTAGCTTCTATAGTTGCTGCTGTATTGTTTTTATACAAGAAAATTGGGAACACTTGCAGTGTGCTGCTACACTACTGAATATGATAGTTACATTGTGGGAACACCTGCAGTGTACTGCTATATTACTCTATATGATAATTACATTGTGGGAACACCTAGTGTACTAATATATTACTCTATGTGATAGTTACATTGCGGGAACATCTGTTGTGGAAAATTTTAGATTTTCCTAAATTCAGCATGTGTAAATTTGAATGATACAATAATTGTGTAATAAAATATGATGCTGATTTCACACTTTCAAGAAATTTCGAGTGAGTGGGGTGTAGAACAGCTGCTGAGTGACGCCGGAAGAGGAGACGCCATTTGTAGTTTGTGAACACTGATTGTCGTGGAAAATTCTGCTAATAATTCGACATCTTCCGAGCCAGATTGGGAAGTTTCGGCCGGAATTTGTAATAAGAACCCATGTTAATGTTCCCTGCTGAAGAATTAGGACAGGAAATTTGTGGGACCTCAAGAATTATGTGTGGATGGCGGAAGATAAGGGATACGAACATCACTCACAGGGAAGTGCACCATTAGTCCTTGCATTTAGATCTCTAGCTGGCCAGTGTAGGGTCTAGGTGTCAGGCCAGTGTTGTGGTGTGATCCATCTACAGTAATTAAATGGTAAGTGGTAATACGAATTTCTTTTGTGTACCCGGCAAGCCTAATCATATATAGTCCACAATTTTAATTTACCAGAGAAGCTGGTTTTAATATTGTAATTATTAATTTAATGTCAGGTCTGGCTTTTTGTGAGAGCGGTGAAGAAGTGGGCATCGAAGGAGTTACAGTTCGGCTACCTACTGCGACTTGAGTCCTACTTATCTCACCCAATTACTTGCAGGTAATAATTCAGGCAATATTCTGTAAACCTCATGGAGGAAATTTGCTCACATAATAATTCACAATACCTGCAGTGTATTGCTATATTACTATATATGATAGTTACATTGTGGGAACAACTGCAGTACACTGATATATTACTCCATATGATAGTTACATTGAGGGAACACCCGTAGTATGCTACTACCCGACTGCTGATTGTTTTATTGTGGGAACAAAAACTAGCCATGTTATATTCCATCACAGAGGATGTATTGTACACCGACGTGAGAAAATTACTGAGGGTAAGCTGGGGACTTCAGTAGAACTGTGCTGAGAATATTCCTCAGTATTCCACATAGGATGACTGGTATAAGTACTAGGCATGCTAATAAGCACTAACTGTGCAATAGACACACATGTGCAACACGGGGCCAGGAGCTTGGACTCGACCCCTGCAACCTCAACTAGGTGAATACATGCGATGTTTATTAGGAGACGTTTTGCCCACTATGTACTTTTATCATTCCAGTACTGTGTGTACTCACCTAATTGTGGTTGCAGAGGTCGATTCATAGCTCCTGGCCCTGTGTATGTGTGTGTTTTAAAGGCCTTTCCAAGAAGCTATTAAAGAAGCTGTGTTGCTTACGTATGTACTGTTAGAGCAACAGTAAACATCTTAGACTGTTTTGCATCTGGGGTGTAAAACCTTAGTGGTGTGCAACACTTTCCCCAGGTGTGAGGGACATTTAATTAAAGGTTTAAACACCCCATCTGACTTAGCGAGTATAACCTAAACGAGACGAGGATCCCTGACCCTCTCTCCCTGGAATGTGTCTGCCTTCCTGCGTGTATTGCAACTTACAAACTCAATAAACTCCCTTCCAAGGTTTTAATAATCAACAATGTTTCTTGTAAGTGTTTTTAAACGTTTTATATGTTGTCCTTCTCAGAGTAATATCAACATTTAGGTCCATCTGGTGTTTTTTTGTGTGTGGTAGGGGGGAGGAAAGAGGCTTCTTGACTTACGTTCTATATTAATACTCTGACGTTTGAGGTTACAAAATTAATATTAAAAAGCTAAGTTCCAGACGTCTAAGATATTATTATTATTTTTTTTATTATTTTTATTATTTTATTATTATTATTATATTTATTTATTTTTATTATTATTATTATTATTCTGTACTATTTTCAAGAGTAGTCATAACAAGTAGTAAGTAGTAATAATAGTAATAGATAAAATATAAATAACGAAAATAATTTTAGTAAAATAGTAGTAAAATTTGGTTTAGTAATATAGTAGTAAACTTATAACTTTTTATTTTTAAAGAAAACACAGACGCTAGAAAAGAGAGGAAGAGTATAATAAAAAAAAAAAACAATGACTGGCTACACTATGGTGTATACAATGATCTGGACCACTATGGGGTATCAAAGATCTGGCTACCCCTACTGGGGTTTTTACAATGATTGGCACCATACTGGTGTTACAATGATTGCCCACCCCTACTGGTGTATACAATTTATCTGGTACCACTATGTGTATACAATGATTGGTACCACTACTGGGGATACAAAGATCTGACTACCACTACTAGTGTACAAGATCTGGCTACCATACTTGGTGTATACAAAGATCTGGCTCCACTACTGGTGTATACAATGATTGGCTCCCCTTGGGTATACAAAGATTGGCTACCAACTGGTGTAACAATGACTGGCTAAAAACTATGGTGAAACAATGATTGACTACCATATATGTATAAAAATGATCTGGGTACCAATACGGTGTATACAATGATTGGCTACCCTATGGTGTATACAATGATCTGGCTACCCCTACTGGTGTATACAATGATCTGGCTACCCTACGGTGTTACAAAGATTGGCTACCATATGGGGATACAATGCTGACTACCATATGGTGTTCATGATCTGGAAACTACTGGGGTTACAATGATCTGATAACTATGGTGTTTTACAATGATTGGGCCCACTACTGGGGTATACAATGTCTGGGTACCACTACGGTGTAAAAAGATTGGCTCCACTCTGGTGTATACAATGATCTGATACCCCTATGGTGTATACAATGTTTGGTACCCCTATGGGTTTATATAATGTCGGCTACCACACTGGTGTTCAAAGATCTGGTACCCTCGGTGTATAAATGATCTGGCTCCATTACTGGTG